GGACTTGGCTGCCTTCCGCGGCCTCGCACCCATCGCAGCTCGGGGGTGTGAACTTCTGCCTGGTTTGCGAAGGCAACATCGCCCTTCCCTAGGCGGAGCTTATACCACCTCATGGCACAGAGGGTAGTGTTAGCTGGCTTAGTTTTGGCTTCGAGGGAAGTTGGTTTATACTTTGGCTTTTTAAAACTTTCAGGTTCAGTTTCAGCTTGGTCATCTTTTCTTCGCTGCTGAAATAAATGCAGCAGTCAATAAAAGTACAATTGCTTACAGTCCTGGTGAAGCTGTGGATTGCGCACTCTTCTACAGCTAACACAGTATAAAGTTATGTGCCCATATGGGAAGTCGTCTGAAAATTACAATGTGGGTGCTCACTGTATGATCTGCGTTGTAAATAATATGACTTCCCTAATCATTTGAAGTGCAGCTGTTAAACTGGAGGGGAAAAATAACATTTGGATAATTCACTGACAATACTATTATGGAAAGATGACAAAGAAGTCTAGTCTGAAAACTTTCTGGTTGATGTAGATGTCCTCACCCTTTAAGCTTGCTACCAATTTCATACTAGTGATTTGGTTTCACTTATTTTAAGCCAATCCAAAGTAGTATTGGAAAGCTCACTTGACCTTAAGAGTTTAATAGGTGAATTGCATCCACAGTAATAAATTTGTTTTCAGGAACTCTAAACCTTATTGCAGCTGCATTCGCCATGATTTTTCTATAGTATTGATTTCTGTGAATCTTTAAGGTGCACTTCTACAGATCACTTTCAGCTGTGTTCACTACAGCTGTTACACTCTTGCTATATTTATTAATGTTTGTATCATTTTTGTTTATGTGAGTGCTTTTAAATCCTAACAGCAAAAAAACCCAGGTTATAAATACAACTGGCTTTTCAATAAAGTTAGGCATCTTTAAATGTAATTGCCATGATAAATAAAGATGTCCATACTAGTTCTTTTAAGACACTTATTCCATCAGGAGCTTATTGCTCTTTTGTGCAATGAGTGCAATTTTTTTTTTTTCTGTCTTGGATCAGATTTTTAGTTCATTGCTTGTCTAGTAACTATAATAGTGTTCCATGGACTTGTGTCTTTGCAGGTTATTGATTGTCTGTGCCTGCCTAATGAATTTCATGACCAGCCTTAGTTTTTGCTGGGCAGTTGTCTTTTAGAGCAATATCCTGATATAGTCTAATGACATTTTTCAAATGTTTGAAGGAATATGTTCACAATTTTGACACTTTTTAGCTTAGAACAATGGTTTAAACGTTTCTTTGTTTGTATACATATGGCATTTAATTTTTGAGTTTTGGACCTCTCAGATGCATGGACAACCCTTAAGAAGATGTGTGTATGAATGTGTACATATGATTATAGATACAAAAAAATGAGGAATGTGAAGTGTATTGTCAGTATGTTTAGCTTTCCTATACTGGCATCTGCACCTCCACTGGGAAATATTTGGGGAGAGTGGGGGAAGGATTCACTGTTGGTTTTGGCTTTGAGAGCAACCACTAGCAGGATTCCTGGAATGCATTTTCTCCATTAATGTAGTTAAAGAAACTGAAAACTTGGAAGCTAGTTGTACTCTAAAAAAGGATGTAGATGTTTCCTTTGGCAATGGAGACCATTTGAGCAGTTCCTGCACACCTCCTGTAATCAAATCCATGCCCCCTTACTGCAACAGATTGCTCAGGTCACAGATTTTTTTGACCTCTCAGTCATGCTGGTAAAACTGTTAGTGGGCCAGGTTATTTTTAACCTGCACTGGTTCACGTCATAGTCCCCTGAAAAGTTGCGCCAGCGCAACTGAGGGAGCAGCGTAGGAGCAGGGTGGGAACTCATTAGGCTGGCTTTGTTGCCTGGAAAGAAGTCAGTGAAAGCTTTGCTTCAAATTGTAGTACTGAAATTAAAAAAAAAAAAAAAAGATTAAAAGATCTGAAGTAGTCTTGATACTTGCATTTTCAAAGCTGCCATATGTTTTGAGCCATCTTTTGGGAATACCTTAATAGGTACATCCTGATTCATAAAGTGAAACGTCCATAAGACGTGCCACCAGTAGGTGTAACTTTCTAAAAGTCCATGCCTATATTAGCAAATTACTTTTAACTGTATTAAAAAAAAAAAATCATCTGCATTACAGTGTAGCTGAGGTTATCACATGTATCTTGTTAGAATTCTGCTAACATAGAATGCTTGCACGTAGTTTGTGTTTTTACTATAAATTATATGTGCTCTCATTTGCATTCTCTGAGCACATTACTTTTTTCCCTGAGGACAAATAAAACTAGGCATTTTTTAAATTAAAAAAAAAAAGCCAGCTTATTTATCTTGTCAGTTCCATGAAAAAAGTCTCTGAAAATAGTCTTTCATTTTGCCTTGAAGTCTAATAAACTTTGCCTGTGTGTTAGTAAAGTAAAGGTGTTCTAAAGAATGTCCTTCTGCAGAGGAGAGTCAGGTTGATTCTCTTTCCAAGATCTGGCCCATGGCCTCTAACGTCTCTGTCAAGTGGAAGTTGGCTTCATACTCTTCCTCTTTTCCTGCAACAAGAATCTAGTGTAGTGTCTTATTCTCTTAGTTCCTAGCCACCATGTTTAACTTAAGAACCTTAAGAGGCTGATGAAGGGAGGGAAGGAAGGAGTATAGCTTTGCTACTTTGTATTGTACCCAAGTCTTAGCATGTAACACCAGCAGCCCCATTCTCATGCACTTTAATGAAAGTAGGGGCATGATTTTCTGTCTGCTCCCCTGTCATAAGCTATTGCAGACTAACTAGTTCTACAGTCCATCACCAAACCTAGCAGCTCATTACTTCTATCCTGAAATTGTCTTCTCTTATTAGATATTAGACAGTTTCTCACTGTGTCTGTGCTGAAGACTTTCAAACACCATGGATAGATAATGAGAGGTATTCTTAGGTTTTGCATAATTATACTTTCAAAAAAGTAATTTTTATTAAAAATTTTATCAAATTATCAAAAATAATTTTTCTTCAAAAAGGAAACTCGACCCAATGTTTAATTTATGTTGCTTTCAAAATAATTTTGGAAAGGAGAAAATAATGGGAAATTGTACAGAAAAAGGTGTTGAATAAACACCCTCTTAATCTTATAAGAAAAATCATTTAGTTTATGGTTATGAAAGTAATCTTTATTTTTGTCACCTTGTATATAAGGTTTGATAGTCTTTAGTGACATGATCATACACATTAGTGCTGGTCTGATGCCCTGGCTGTTAGGTTTAGGGAGTTAAACTGTCAGAGAGCTATCACTGCATAATAGTGAGAAGTGAAGCTTCCTTGACTAGTTTCCTTTGTCAGGTAAGTGTTGCATCAGCACGAGAATGAGAGGTATGGTTTTTGTTGGCAGTTCCCCAGTAATAAGGCTAGAAATATTCTTGTATTGATTGTGGCCTTCATGAAAGGAGCTGTTGCTCAGATATTCTTCACTTGTCAAAGCACTCCAATGATGAATTGAATTTCATGTGCTTAACTGTTCATTGATTTCAAGGAATTACTCTTTGGTTCCTCATGCAAAATGGTATTTTTTTCCCTACGATTTACATAAAAATGGAAACATTGAATTTTGTGAAATTTGTGAAGCTCTGTATCTTAGGCAAAGTAAACACTCTTGTATCGGGATCCTGATCCTAGTTATTGCTGAGACACCCCTGCGCTTTTATGAAATTACTGGTCTTACTACAAATTAGATGATCGGGAGTGTATGTAAAGAAAAACAAAAGTTTCTTATTTCCTGTATTGTTCAGAAATACTTTCAAGACTATGTTAGAGGAGGTGAAAAGAAACAGGAAGACTTCATTGGCCATCACCATTTATTTAAAAAACACATAAAACCAGTTGTGATTAGAGATGCTGCTGGTAATTTGGTTAATTCCAAAAGCTACCTATTTTCATTACTATTTTCATACATGACTCTCTCTCCTTACTGCAAGAGCAAGTCTCCAAGCATGGGGGACTCAGTTTAATGAGATCTATGCAAAATTTTTATCAAGTCCTAATCAATAATGAAATAGTACGCAATGCATTGTGTGTATGGTTTTGGGTTTTGTTGTTGTGGGATTTTTTTGAGTTTTTTTTTTCTGGGTGGTTTGTTTGGTTTGTGTTGTGTGGGTTTTGGGGAATTTTGTTTTGAGTTTTCAAGAAAATGTGACTACATGGGAAGCCTTGGCAAAATCTTACACAATTTGTGGGGCTGTGGTAGGTTGGGGGTTTGGGTTGGGTTTTTTTAGATGCAAAGAGAATAAAGCTGTAACTAGTGCTTCAGTAACTCGGTTGTGACAGGTATATTACATGCTTCACAGTAGGGTCTTCACATTTCTTGTGAATCACTTACCTGGAATAGGAGTATTTTTAAAAAGATTTCACTGTGATGTTGGAGGCTTTCTCTGATAGTTGCTGGTGGATTGTACAGAAATAGTTTAAATTATGTGGAGGATGTACTGGGTCTTCTCTCATTTTTGATAGCTAAGATGAAAATTGAAATAATTGCCAGAAAGGTGATGTGGCGTCAATCTCTGAAGCTATTACATATCAGATCAGGTTCAACCTGTACAGAACGTGGCGAGGGTGGGGAAGGAAGGCTGTTCTATGGGAATTATCATCAAGTGCAATAACCTTTACGGAACAGTGAAACATTTGTTGCATGGAAGTACTGAATGTTTTGGCATGTGTGTCTTGGTTTTTACTGTCTAGTCTCAAGATGGCAGAATTATTTATGGAATGTGAAGAAGAGGAGCTTGAACCATGGCAAAAGAGAGTGAAAGAAGTGGAGGAGGATGATGAGGATGATGATGAGCCAATCTTTGTTGGGGAAATCTCAAGCTCGAAGCCAGCTACTACATGTAAGATAACGTTTTCCATAATTTAAAACAGGTATTTCAAGGTGTAAAACTTTAAACTTACTTTGAAAATACAGAGGTTTTTAACTGTAACACTTAAGAAATTCTACTTCTTAAAGTTGTTCTGTAGTTCACTGTCATACTGAAGACTGTAATTCTTAAGAAATTCTGTCCGAAAAGCCAGGTTATGCACAGCTGTGTCTACCTCTAACCTTAAATCTCTGAAGTCAAAACAAGGACATTTGAAGGTTTTTGCATTAACAATATGGTTAAAAATCCAACATACACAGTGCTGAAACCATGCATGCAGTTGTTCTTAATATAGTTGATGTTTAGTTAGATACTTGGAAGTGTCTCCCTAGTAAAGTAATGTGCATGAATTTAAACCTTCACATTACAGTCCCTCTTTTTTCTCCATCCCACATTTCATGTGTTGGTGGACTGTCTGAATGGGTGGCCATCATTCTGACAAAACCAAGGTAACTGTCTTAAGTGTCTATAATAATAGCACAACCAGGAAAAGTGATTAATGTGAAAACAGTAGAAACCTCTCTGTTAAGTAAGAGATTTTTATTAATAAATTAATTCATCCCCTGTAAAATGAAGAGTTTTTTTTCATCAAGTTCTGTAGTTTTCTCCTAATGCAGGCAGTGCAGGGAGTGAGGTTAGGTGGTTGTGATGGCAGCAGATGTGTCAGGATTCCATGTTTGTCCTGTGCTTGGCTTTGGCAGGTAAGTGAAGGAGAACATTATTTTTGTTATTTAAATTAATTTTAGTAACGAAACTTTTTGGTTTCTGTATGTGGCCATCTTGTCAATTGTTAAGAGGTTTGCCCTAAGGCTTCTCCAGGTATCGAGTACATAAAACTTTGCCTGATGAGGTTTACTGCTTTCAGTTTCTCCCTCATCTCTGCTACACTTTGTATCCAAGATTTCCATAGTCATTTTCTGAAGGTGTATAGTTTGCAGTGAAGAATCTCAAGACAAAATGTTAAACTAGGCTCTACTGCATGGACTGTGGAGCTATTGTTAGCTGTTCAGTCATTTTAATTCACAATACTTTCATCTCGTATCTGAACTCTATTTTACTTCGTTACTCACTGCGATAGTAAGTCTAATGCTTCTTACACTAGCTTTAAAAAGTGGAAAATTATGTTTTAAATATTAAAGAAATACTGAAGGTGATGCTAAAGTTCCCTCACCTGAAAACAGTTCTTAAGGGTTAATTTTTTTAAATATTTAAAAAATATTCTAGATCCTCTTGAAAATTTGAAGAATATTTTGATTTACTCTAAGAAGTTTTCTGTAGTTACAAACTTCTAGAAGGAGTGAAAAATATCCATACTGTTTTCTCGAAGGCCCAGAGACCTCTGGATTGCTAATGGTCATTGGCAGTAGGTCATGGCATAGAACAACTATTAAAGCACTAGGCATACATTGGAACAACAAATATGCCAAGTTGCATTGCAGTTATTATAGTCTCAAGTTTTTTGGTTTTGTGTTTGGGTTTGGGTTGTTTTTTTTTTGTAATTATAGAGGATAGAAATAGTTCAGGCTAAAACTATAGTTTTGATATTCAGCAACTTGAAGAACTTTGGTAAAAGATAGAGACTTACAATGTATGCATCTTATTCTAGTGCTGTCCATACTCGGTCCTGACACAAGTAAAATCACTTCTGGTATAACTTTTTACTTTATCTCTTTTCCTTCCCTTTCCTCAACTTTTCTCTTTGTAATCTTCTACTTCACTATCAAAAACAGCTATGGAAGAATGACCTCAGTTCTTCTCTGGCTTGTAAGTAGCACTACCTGGCACTAGTCAGGTTTCAGTTTGTTATTGGTGATAGGCAAGACACAGTGAACTCAAGTTTGCTTATCACTGTTGTTCAGTTTTTACCTGAGAAAATTCCTGTCTGATCAGAGGAAAACTTAGACGACAGACAGAGACTCGCATGTAGTTCTTAATTTTTCTGAAAGATATATTTTCTGTGATACATAGCATTTTTTTAACCTTTTCCTGACAATGCAATTATCAGTTTTTATACAGACTGGTGTGGGAAACTTGAAGAAAATAGTTAAAAACCCAACTTTGACCTGCTGGCACAGTGTCATGTACAATAAAGTGCCTTTTTTGATGTAGTGGAGGATTAGTTTGGGATGAAAAGTAGTTCACACTTTGTTCCCTTTACCATTTCCTGCAACTGCTCATTTTTCCTACTGTTACTGCTCGTTTTTCTTTCTTCCTTTTTCATAACGATACAAACCTGTAATTTGTTGCTACTTTGAAATATTGTTTTGCATGTTAGCTGTCTTATACTTCAGTGCTGTTTTACCTAAACAGGGCAAATAATGCTTTGATGGGGGAGGGGGAAGGGCACATCAAGTCTGTGATCAATCACTTGAGTCATGTAAGTCTAGTTTATAATTTCAAATCACAGGCTTCCTGAAGTGTTCTTTTTAAAAACACTAAAATCTACCTTTGTATTTTAGGATGTCAATTATGTGTGCATCAGACTGTCTGAAGCTGAATATGGGGTTTTTTTTTAGGTTGATGAAGGCTTTAGTTTCATTTCACTCTGGAATTCAAATGTGATGTATAGACTTATTAACAAACACAAAAAAGTATGTGTTCAGCTAAATGCTGAATTAAGTTTTTCCTGACTCGTAGTTAGTGTTGAAGTAAAAATAGTATTACTATTGCAGGACAAAATTTCATTATGTCATAAAAAATTCAAACCTGTTTGTATCTGTTGGTTGCAGCTGCTTTTTTATTACTATGAATGCAGGTGACAGGTTGAAAGCTGTGATCTTCTGAGCTCTACTGCTATTAGATTTATTTATCAACCTGAGTTGTGTATACTAGTGAGCCATTGCTGGTAGAAACAGCCTTAAGGTTATTAAACACAACGTGTAGATATTCTAAGATCTATTGTTTGAGATACTGATGTAATTTGACCCTGGTTTGAGAAGGTACTTTAAATCTTGTTGGTTAGGTATTGGAGAATCAATCTAATTTCATATGCATATTTTCACATGTCGGAGCAAGAAACTTGACAGCAACTAACAGAATTGAGAATCTGGCAGTATAAAAATATTTTTATTTGATTAATATTTTTGTAACATTCTGGAATGATCAGAAACCCCAGACTAAGGAATAAGAAGTTGGGGAATATTGGTGGCATTAGTTACAGAGTAAACACCAATTTAAGAAATTTCATGTGTTTCTCATGAGCTAGAACTCTGGTCATAGATGACCGTATAGGATATGTAAGAAAGTCATTGCTTTTGTAATGCAGTTCCCACACAACTCCTTTTTGATTGTTGGTCGGTTAATTTTTCTTCCACACTGGAAAATTGAGATCATGAAGTCTAAAGACAAGTTTTTAAGTGCTCTATTTTCCTGGAATACAGAGGCAAATTGTGTAGTTACTGGTTTAGAGAAAATGATTCCTTTAGTGTAGAGCAGCTCTAGTATTTGGGGAACTTACTATGTATATGAGAAACAGAAGTGAATAAATGCGTAATAATCAGCAAAAGTAAGTATTTGTGGACTGTTCTTTTTGTTTGCACTCTTATTTGTATGTTAATCTATTTCCAAGAAAATAAAAACTGAGATTCTTAGGTGAACTAGCTTAACCTAAGAGAAGTAGAAGAACATATCTTAATTTGTACAAATGACGCTTTGTTTTGCCAGGTATTTATTTTAGAAATAATATTCTAATTTATAAGTCAAATCCTAATTGGCTTGCTTAATGGATATGAATGCTGCTTTTAATTTGAAAAGCAATTAAGCTATTAATTTAACTGCAATTAAGATAAATGTAACTTTTGACAGATATATTGAACAGAATCAACCTCAGCTCATCACGAAGGGGGATACAGAATGGTGCACCCAGTAGAGGTACTTTATTGTCCTAATATGGTAATTAAAAACAAAAAATCCACAACACTTATGAAACCTCTGACTGCAAAATTATATAAAGATAACTTTGGAATCCTTTGCAACAGGTACAATTACTACATTCAAGCCTGACAGTCACCATTACGCGACACCTGCCTCCAACCCCAGTGCCATGCCTGTTTCATCAGTCTTTCAGTCTGTATCCAGACTCGGTTCAGCCGTTGTCTATACCAGTGAATGTTTCAGGAACTTCACAAACACTGCAGAGACCAGTTGCTGGATGTTTATCAACACAGCAGATGCCTGGGTCAAGTTCTGGAATAACACAGCCTGTTAGCAGACCTGTAACCATTCCAGTGACGACACAGCCAGTATCGAGAAATATCACGATTCCTGTAGTGGCTCAACCTGTATCCAGGCCAGTGACTACTGTAACAGCACAGCCTGTAATACTCAATCAGGTAAATTTTTATTCCATTAAACTGTAAAATACTCAGGTACAATTACTTTTGAATTAATTAATGAGGAACATACTGACTCAGTCTAGTAATTTGAAGACCTGGACTAGATTATAAACTAGCATTATATAAACCGGTACTAGGACCATAACCTTGCACTGGTGAATAGTGTTAGTGAATAGTCAAATATATTTGCAAATGCTGATTTGCAAGACTCAAAGATGGTAGCTTTAGTAACAGTGGAATTACATTAAATGATAAACCTTAGACATAAGATATATCAATACTGTTCATTTTATTTAGGTTGTGTGGAGAAACGATGGCAATTCTCATTCTTTAAATTTTGCAGATTTCTCTGCTCAAAGGCGGGTCCTCTTTTTATTGATAAATTAATTTCATTTTTAAATAGCTTGCATTTGGCCTTTAAAGTAACTTTGTGGCTCTCCCACCTGATTTTTTACAGTGCCTCTCTTGAGATTTTTGCTTCTTAAGTGGATGTTGTAGTGATAGCTTCTTAGGTGTGTTTGCTTTTTGGTTCACATGTCAGTTGAAGTGAAACAGTAAGGAGGACTTAACCAACCAAAAGGTGCAGGGTCAGTAGATGAAACAATTTGGCAACATACTTGTTTTGTTTGAAAAGCCAATTATGTACATAGACCTTGTATCATAGATCTTCCTGGATTGCCACAGAACCTCAGAATGATAACTTTAGGGCGTCAAGTTAGATGCCATTTTTATTGCCTTAGCTGTAGGACATTTGTGAGAGAGAAAACATGAAACATGAAGATTAGAATTTCATATTGGTATAAGGTAAACTATGATGTGATACCTCTATTGAAAATAACTTAAGTTGGAACTGTTTAGTGTGCCTATATTAGCTACTAGTGTTATAATATTAGCTGCAGGTTAAAATAAAGCCTGACAGTAGGCACTGTCTCCATCATCCATGCAAATATACACGTGCAGTTGTTCCAGCTGTCAGTCTTTTGGTATAAATAAAAATCATGCAGCCTAATGTATTGTGCATTTGCTGAACAGGGGTATCAGTCTGGATGAACATAGTTAATAAAGCCATTAAAACATGAGAATTAGGTGTTCTTCTGAGGACTTGTGGTTAAATCATTGCTGATGGGGGTTGTATTTTAAGTAAAAAAATGTGATGGAATCATTGCCTGTCGACTGGGAAGCTGAATTTCTGGCAGATTCATTAGGAGAGAGCTTGTGCTTTCCAATTTTGAGTCTTCAGCAGTTGATTGAGAGTTTGTAGAGAGAAATTGTGGGCATGTCTGGTAAAGCAGGTTAGCTTATATCAGTCTGTCACTGTATCTAAGGAGGCCTAAAAATGATATAATCAACAGTCTGGGTATCAGTAGGATATCTAGATTGCCTCTGGAGTCCTCTTAAATATGTCTTTATAAAGCAGAACAGTTTAATACAGAAACGTCTGCTACTTCACATAAGGTCTACACATATTTCAAGTCTGTGAATTTTATTTCTATAAAAGTTTACTTATTACATAGTATGCTTTATTAAATCCCTCAAATGAGTACTAGGATGTCTTGCAGAATCTTTACCGCAAAAGAAAGCCCCCTGCTTTACTACCCTTGCCCATACATGCTCATGTTTTTGTTCTAATAGATAAAACTACTAGTGGCATCTACGTTGTTTTAATTAGAAAACCTTAGAGTAAACAGACCTAGGAAAGCTGAACTTCTCCAAAAGGTGTATATAAGCTGGACATAATTCATCAAGACCGTGACTTCCTTTAAAGACACTATGCACACAGCACTTATTTTTATGAGAGTTCTTTCTCATTCATTGAGTTAACTTTCAACAGGAATGTCACAGGTGAGACTTTAAGTTACGTAGTCTTGCTTTGCCAAAATCTGCAGGTTGTTCTTTTCTGGCAGAAGAGAGAAATGCCTGTTTGAAGAGGTTGTAGCCTGAAATACAACTTTCAAGGTACACAGCATGGAAAAGGATCTCTAACCATGTATTAGTCAGTTTTGTCTAGTCTAAGTTAGACTGACATGCTTTAGGAAGTAATGCATCCTTTTCTGGGATATCCAGTGCATAGGTATTCCACTGTTGAAATTATCATGTATTATATGGTTTGCTTACAGTGTTGACATTTTGATCATGGCTTTCATGAGCGCTCAATTTTTTTAGGTTATCCTAAACGTCAAAACCTATTCTTTGGATGTTAAGAAATTCTTGAGTACCTTTAGGAAGATTTTTCTGGGGTTTTTTCCTTGCTAAGACATGCTTAAAGTGAATCTTCCATCTCTTCAACTTAACTTTTCTAGATTTGGAATTGTATTTCCAATTTTAGCCCTGTCTAGAATAACTTTCCTGTTTTTGTAATGTTCCTGCCACTTGACTATGTTATACTTTTTATGGGGAAAGGCTTGTTTGGTATGCTTTTTTTTTAGTGAGGTACTATAGCTCAGCTTCTTGGTTCTGTGATATTTAGTATCGCTCCTGCCACATTGTCATTTGCTGTTCTTGGTGTCATATGCATACTACCTGTATTTTGTTTCATGCCCTTGATTTGAATTGTCTTCATTCAAGAGCTCCTTAGATATTTTATTTATTTTTCCACCTCCCCACCCCTTATCTAGTCATTACTTCACTTGTGGCTACTGTTTCGTATTGAAGATTTTCTGCCTTGGTCTTTCTGTGACACTTTTGTTCACACATTTTCTGTTTCTTCCCAACTTGGTTCTTCCTAAGTGGCAAGGGCTTCAAGTAATTTTTTTCTGGGAAATATTTGATGTTTGGATCTTCAGCTTCCAGATGTTGAAACTTACCTTTAAAATTAAAATATTGTGATGTGAAGATGACTGAGGTATGACTAGACACTGGCAGGACCCCTCTTTAGCTGAACATCCTTCAGAATGCCTTTGCATTCTTGATAAGGTACAATATTTTTTAATCTCAGGGTGTCAAACTTTTTTTCTTTGGGAACTGATTGCTTTTGATCACCAACTGCGTTGAAACACATTTCCTCAATTTCATAACATGTAGGCCTATAATTTACCTTTTCTCAATGCTTGGTATTCCAGTTTTATCAGTGAAATGCCTGTTTCCAATCACAGGCTTGATTCACTGACTTCCTGTAATAGTCTGGTTTTTGTGTTCTTGTTACTGCACTATGTTAATGCAGCTCCAAAATTTTTGAGTTGAATTTGGCTTCAGTCATACTGTTTACAGCAATTCTAATTCAGTCAGAGCTGCTGTTGTTGTATATGATAGCATAGGGCTATCCTCTTCTTTACAAAAAATTTCTTTTTAGTGGTAAAGATCTTCCCATAATTCAGCACTCAGATTGCTCTCCAACAAGCCCCCAGGCAATTCTCTCCATATCATTCCCCTACTTAATAGGCACTTTCTCAGTCTGAGTGTGATTCAGGTTGTAGTTGTTCCCAGTTAATTCTGAGAGAGCAAAGATCTGATACCATGCATTGTAATTCCTCTGTGTAGATTTGGTTACTAGTTATCATGTTGGTTTCCACAGTTAGGAAATCTGGGATGCATAGTATGAAACAAGTATTTTCAACAGCCTCTTGGAAAACGAAGAGTGGTGGTGGTATTTTTTTTTTTTACTTGAGCCCTAAGAATGTCATTTATAAAGGTGTTGGGTTTTGCCTTTTTGCATGTGAGAGCACCTGTACATGTCAGTTTGATTTTTTTTTTTTAATTGATGTTTGCTTAATTGATGTAAAGCTGTTTTGTTTTTTTCTTTAAAATGTTTTTGCTTTCTAAAGCATGGGAAGATATTGGTGTTGTCTCTGTCATTTTACATACAGAAAAATTGTACGAAAGGAATAAATGTAAACATAAAAGGACATTTTGAAAATTTTGAGATTTTGGATTTCCACGATGTCTGTTCTTACTTTCTTACTTGCCTGATATGTTTAATATATACTAGGGAGATGTACACTGGGTACACATAAAAACAAACCACAGATTAGTAAGAGAAGCAGATTTTGTGTGCAGCTATTTTATTGGTCATATTTCAAATATAGGTGATGTGCATAGTCCTTCACACTAAGAGCCTACCACAGGCTTACCACCTGAGCATTAGTTGTGCTTGACATGGGGTTTGCAGGCTAAGCTGCTTTCCTTTCAATTTCACTGGCTAGTCTGAAACCATTGTGGCTACAGCAACACCTGCTCTGTTGTTAATGCAGCTCATGTAGCTGTTACTCATAAAAAATAAGGCAAAGAAATTTAGTAACTTTTTTCCACAGCTACTCCTGAAGTGTTTAATTTGGTTAGATTGGATTAGGTCCCAGAGGAAAGAATGGCTCTTGATTATCGTTAAGGCCCTGCAGGGTCTTCATTTAAGAGATGTACGAGAAAAAGGCAGGATGGGGAGAAGCATCTTCCTTTTTGTTCAAATTTTTTATGGTACTTAGGAGTCCTAAAACAGATTATCATACCTGTATGTGTACTTGTGCACTTCTTTAGACTTCTTCACATCAAGTTTAGTCAACATGGTGATAGTTAAAAATGTGGTAACTTGCACAGGGATGTTTTCAAATAAGTAGCACAATTGTGAATGGGAAGCATTTTGTGAGATTGATCTTTACGGCAAAAAGTATTTTGGCCTTTGTCTTATGGATATACTGATGACAAAGTCCCTGTATATGTATTGGAATTTTTTTTTTTTTAAGAAAACTGGACTACTTTTGTTGAGAGTTTTGTTTCACAGTACAGCTTGATTAAGTGTAGCTGATTGAATTCAGAACAGAAAGTGCCAATGTTTTGTTGTTCATACCTTAATGTTGAAATTAAACCTAACTCTATTAAGTTTTTCTTAACTCCTTATTGCTACTGCTGAAAATATTTCATGTTCCAGACTGTTTGTGTTAGCATTAATGGCCTATTAAGATGTGAGCAGTATTGATGAATCTTGGAAAGTACGTTTCTCTCATACCTCACCCCCCAACCTTGAATATCTGTAAAAAGAACTACATTTCATGTTTCTTTTTGCTCCAGATTTTACCTATTGAGTGATCAGTGAAGGTGTTTAGTTTTAACAGCTTTCAGTGTTGGAGCCAAGAAATGTAGACTATCTAATTTTTTAGGTTATATGTAGTACTAAAGGGCAAACCTTTTAAACTGAAGGGTAAAGAGGATACCTGTACTTGGAGATGCTCAAAACGTAATGTAACAAGATGATGAGAAACATGAACCAACTTTTGGCTTAGCTGTGCTTTGAAAAGAGGGTTTGATTATATTATTTACAGAAGTCCTTATGAAACGAATCTACATAAAAGAAAAAAAACCCTTAGTGATATCATGAATTTGAGTGCCATTCCCAGTCAACATGCTACAGATACACTTCTACTTTCATTAAAGCTTGACCACTTAGTAGTATTTGATTGATTTAATATCATCTTGCTTTGAGAATCTTCTGCTTGTTGCAAGTTTGTGCTACTTTTGAGTTCTGTTTTCTGATCTTTTGAAATGCAGCTAGCTGTTGCACAAAAGTAACATGCAAATGCCTGATTTTGAATTGCAGGAAGAAAGTACTAGAGTTTTTTTAAAAACTATTGAAGTATAACTCAAAACATCATGAGAGTTTTGAACAAAAGCAGTTAAAATTAGCAATTCAAACAGGTTTAGTAATATTTCATCAAATGGACTTTCTTGGGTCTTACAGTTGTTTTAACTATACTGAAACACAGCTATGAATAAATTAACAACCACTGATAAGAGTTGCAAACTTATCAAAATGTCAAAAGAAACTATTTTGGGAGATAGTAATTAACTTGATATACAGCTGAGTACTTGTGAGTACTTTTAAGCAATCATGTTTTTAAAATAAACCCTTTGAAGCCTGCAAGTACAAAAATGTTAAACCTCAAATTTCTTTTCCCTCTTGAAAATATCTTATTAGGATTATATTATGGATTCTCCACCAGCTGCACCAGATAATACATCTGGTATACTGTTTGGTGTGAGACACAACTCGGGAGTTCCACAGTACCAGACTGGGCCAGCAGTGAATGTAACAGGTGGGTATAACTGTAGTAGTTGTTAAGAGAAAGAAACAGCCTAATGTCATTTAACTGTAGTGCAGATCTTTGGGTTATAACTTTAAATAGACTTTCTAGAACCATAGTATAGCTACTTTTTCCTTCCCCCTCTACATAACACTGTGTAATGTTTAATGAAATAAACTGGAGCATTGTGTTGTCAGACTTTGCTTTTCAGCACGTTAGACTGACTGTAATATCAACTGATGCCTTCTTATAATGCTCATTTAGATGGAAAAAAATATTGCCAGATTCACTGTAATTTTTTGACCGATAAAGGCTCATTTTCAGTATATCCAGCACTCTTTGACTAGCCTGAATAGGAATGGCTATTAGCAAGAGCGAGGCTGTGAACAGTACCAGAAGAACTTCCTGAGACTACTGAGTGGATTCCCTGTCATGATGATCCTGGTTTCCTGACTGCTATGTATAGGAGTTGGAGTAGGTGGGATCAAAAGGATCCTGTCTGGAAAGGAGAGGAAGAGAAAGAATGCATAGTTTGACAACTAAAATACTTTTTTCCAACTAGCTAAATTGTGTTTCAGCAAAAACTATTTAATCTACTTAAACAAAAAAAGCGCCCTTTTTTGTGTCACAGCAGATGAAGTAGATTTGAAGCATGCAGTATTTAATCTTAAACAGGCTATAACTTGGGACTTCCCTTTCCTTTTGTGAATGATTGCATTTTTGTAATAACTGACCAGAATTCTGTCACTGAGCATACAAGTTCCAGATGACAATCAATTCTGATTCTTCCATGAGGTAACAGGGTATGTATAATGAATGGCCTAAATGGTCATACTAACAAGTGATGTAGAACAGAGTGATTGCTAGCTTATGCTGCTTGATGTGATGATTTTGCATCTTTAGTTTAGGCATTCACTCCAGATGCTTATCAGTGAAGGATTGGTAGCGTATTTCCTTGCATGTGTCCAACTATTCTGTGATCTCTGGGTTAAGCAGCTTTTTTGTAAATTAAGCAAAGGTTTTATTTCTTGCAAATTGTTCAGGATTCCAGCCCTTGTTCTCCAAAGAACAGCTATTAAAGTTTAATTGCTTGTGGGTTTTGGTTTGGGGTTTTTTTGTGTGTGTGGTTTTTTATTTTTTGATTTAGTACACCTGCTAGCATATTTAAAAGTAACTTGTATTAGTCTCACCCAGAAAAAATTAACTACTTTAAAAGCATCAAGGATTGTAATTCATAGTGACTTAAATATACCATATTTAGTTTATGTTTATTTCTGTAAGATGGCAATAGTATTTAGGAATTTAAAAGTTTATAATTGTGGGTTGAAACACAAGTATCTTTATGACACAGAAGGCAAGCTTAAGATACATTTCACAACAAGTAAGTGTCTGCTTATTTTGTGGTTTGGCTTGCATGGTGAGGTCCCATAATGCACTTCCATTCACGTTGTCCATATGTGTTCATGCCTACTTGCCTGCATTGGTGCTATGCTTCCTCTAATTCATGTGCAGCACTGTGGGCACAAGGCATTCTGGAATATGGTATTTAAAAGCAGAATCCTTTTGGGAGCTGGCCTGTGATACTCTGGAGGACAGTTTAACTTCTGTACATGGATTGTTAAAGACATTTTTTAGCTCAATGTAGCATAAATAATTATTTCTGAGGTCTAAGCAGGGAAATGACAAGCTGCTAATGGATACTAATTTTGTCAAGTTACTAAATAGATGGTTTAAAAGTGGTATTTGAAAGTTAAAGAGCATTGATAATTCTTATCTGCAGGTTGGATGGGCACTGGGGGTGAAAGTAAAACTGCAGTTTGCTTTCTGAGAATATTTGGGATCATTCTCCCACAAACTTTACCCACTTGGAGGAACCAGAAAATGCCATAACCAATACAAGAACTGTACTGTAGTATTTGAGTTGACTGGACTGTATACGTCTGTTCATAGCACTAGATTAATGGGAGATGTTGGTGAGGGACAATGCACTAGAGGCCTGAAATAATTTGGCTTTTGTGTCCCTATTCTGTTAATTTGATCTGTTAGCACAGTACCTTTGATGCTTTTATTCTAAGTTACCATTTCTAACATCTTTTGCTGTCATTCATAAAAATCAGGCCCAGCAAGCACAGATGCACATGACAGTGTTAAGGATTTTATAGTAGTTTTGTAATGTGTGTTTAGAAAGCTGTCAGCAAGGTGATACTGCATCCAGTCTATTTTGATCTTTCTTGTAATAATTTTAGCTATTGTATTCAGTAATACTGTGTGTATGAGTACAGCCAACTGTTTTGTAATAGCTACAAAATATATACAAAAGTATTCACTAATAACATAAAGTGAAGGTAACAGACTCCTGAGCGGCCTAAAAACCAAACAAGACTTGTTTGGCTGCTGCTTTTCTCTGCTCTCCTGAGTACCTGGAATCCCTGACAGTTTTGACTGTGTGGTCTGCTGAGTAGAGTGTTGGACAAACTAGTCTGGAACATGAGTGGTCCAAGGAATTCTTGTGTCCTTGCACTAGCTGAGAGGCACTTGGAAATGAGGAATCAATCTGATTTATACCAGCTAGCTATTAAATAATACTTGGAATTGGTTTTATTATTTTTCAAAATGGACTTTGATTTTTTTTTTAATTGACAAACAGAATTCAAATGCAAACCTATGTATATTCTCCTAGTATTATTATAATTCTTCTGAAAGAGGGAGTTTATTATATCAGTGTTACTAAAGAACTGAGTAAAGAATGTTTACCTTAATATATATGTAAAATAGTCTTCAATTTTTTTGTCACAGATGTCAAGCTTTTTTAATTGAAATTATTACCAATTTTGTTAACATGTAAAAATAGCCCTTTTTTCCAAATCAGATTTTCTACAGTAAAACAAAATACTTCACTGAAAATTCTTGTAAAATCAGTCACACCTGCTGCCTTTTCCCTGGTCCTCATTACACAACTACACATGATTAAATATATAGCAGCAGTTTCTGCTATAGGTTGATGGCCTGATGCTCGAATAGCCTCAGTGATACAGAAGAATGCTGGTCATACCAGCTGTATGGAAGACTTTGCTGATCAAGACACATATGTCAATGTAAGCAGTTCATATACCTAACAGTGCAAGTATAAGTAAATTAAAAAACCCTGGGAAGTAGTAATATCTAATGAATAACCTGTTTATTTTGTGAACGTGTTAATTACCTTAGGCAAACAATGCACAGAGTGAGACATTTGAACTTAATGTGTTCATTTATGTCAGAAGGAAAGGTGTGCTACAAAGGAGAAGGTTAGGATGATTAAATTTGTATATAACAAGTGAATTATGTTTTCCAGTTGTTGTGGTTTAACCTGGCAGGCAGCTAA